CACTCTCCATTCACCCGAAAAAAGTCGGTGGGGCTAAAGCTGTGTTCACAACTGGCACGTGAACGCGGTACGCTTGTAGTTCATGCGTGCCGAAGGGCGCAGTCAGCATTTTACTGAAAACAGCATCTCGAGTTGTATTTTAGGGCGTGCGTTACCTGCGAGTACTAATTTTTGACCCCGTCAGTCAAAGTGACTGGCATAATGCCGGTGCGCCCCTGATATGCGCTTAAAATTACAATATAGAAAGGAAAAGGACATGATGGGTCCGAGTTTCAAAAATTATACTATGTTAGAATTTCCATTTTCATTTCTCTCACTCCGTCTCCCTCTCTTTCTTTCTCTCTCTCTCTCTCTCTCTCTCTCTCTCTCTCTCTCTCTCTCTCTCTCTCTCTCTCTCTCTCTCTCTCTCTCTCTCTCTCTCTCTCTCTCTCTCTCTCTCTCTCTCTCTCTCTCTCTCTCTCTCTCTCTCTCTCTCTCTCTCTTCCTCCATCTTTCTAACCATCATTCCTCGCTATCGGCTCTTGTACCATGTTCTTCACACCATGACTTGCAGGTTCCACTTTCATTTCTAATTCGAATCTCGTCATCATGCTATTGGCGGCGTGCTTACTCGGCACAATGGTTGTGATTGGGTTTCTGGTCTGGCGCATGTCCGCCATCAAGTCAAAGCTTCGGCGCATATCAATGCCACATGGTGAGTTGTCGAGAAGCGCGGCTGTCTGTGCTGGTATGCTGCTGTGGGTGTGTATCTTTATGTTGGGGTGGGGGGTGGGGGTCTGTGTGTGGGTGCGTGCCGGTATAATTTGTGTGCACATGTGGGTTTTTGCGTACATGTGTGCACGTGCGTGTTTGCGTGCGTGTGTGCATGTATGTGGGTATAGCTGTAGGATATGACTGGTGACGGCGGAAATGTTTTGTTTTGTTGACGTCACCTTTGAACAGAGCAAGGGCATTTTGCCGCAGAGCAGTGTGAGAGCACGTGCTGGGTGCCGTTCTCGTAATGTAAAGCCCGGCCAAGTGCACGAGGCAGAACTTCCCGAAAGACTTGCAGCGCGTGCGTCGTAGAAAAAGGTTACGTTAACAAAAAATTCCACCGTGGGCCAACCCATCCGGGAGTTGCACAGTCTTGTTTTTCTACTCTTGGCGGGAGTGATGTGCAATGTTCAATGTTCACAAAGAGAGGTTTTCTGTGTGACTAGGCCTGGGAACTGAAGCATGCAAGCCCAGTGGGTTATCTAGCCTGTTATTGATCCCTGTTCGTTGTTGTTGTAAAAACTCGGATGTTGAGCCGATAGTACTATTTAGAGATAAAAGGACCTATAAGGTCGCCGAATCTCTCAATATCCTTGTCAGTGTTGCGCCCTGTTGTCGCACTATCTGACTGTATACAGGGATCGCACAAAGGTCTTAAAGTCCTGAAAAGGTCTTAAAGTCCTGAAAAGGTCTTGATTATATCGTTACCTTTGTGGACTGTTAGTCATAACTAGCAACTTATAGGTTCGTTGTTGTGTTTGGTGTTGTACTATCCGCTCCTCCCACTCTCCGCAGACTCCCAGCCTGTCCGCAGCGGCAGTGTCACCATGCCAACCCACACGTCCAGCATGTCGGCAGCCGTCACCGGCGGCGACACGCCGTGCGGCGAGACCTCGAGCATGCGCGACGGCGACAGCGCGACCCACTCCCTCGCCAGCGTTGTCACGGTAGCACACCAGCAGCGCACCTCGCTGACGTCCGCCGACGGCGGCACGCTCAACACGCTCTCACGGCTGCACGAGCTGCACATGACCATGGACGAGCTGGTGTGTTTCAGCGACAACGACGAGGAACAGCCCAGCTCCGCGGTCGCCGCAAAGGAGTCGCCATTGGCAACGTCGGCGGCGGTGTCGCCCCGAGCAACGCAGCGCCAGGTCCTGCAGCACCGGGTCGCCGCGCGCTACTCTCTCCAGCACCAGGACACGAAGACAGTGTCGCTGGACTTGCCGTCGCACTCCGGACCCAGCTCGATCTCCGACGCGGCCTCGCTCCCGGGCCTGGTGGAGACGAAGCCGTCGACGCCCGTGTCGCAGCCGTTTGACGTCTTCACGCGCCACATCATGGACAGCTCCAGCAACTGCTGCGACCTGCCGCCGCCAACGGTAGCCACGACGACCGGCACATCACCGGTTGGTCCGGCAACCGTGCCACACATTGCCGCCGCCGCCGCGTTCCGGGACAGAGACGCGCTGTGCGACGGTCTGCTGCGATCAAACTCTATGCCGCTGGTGGGGCCGGCAGGTGTAGGTCAGCCGCATTCCCAGGTGCCGGCGGCCGTCGTTTCCCGGGACTCGCGAACCAAGCCCGGCAGCAGCGAGCCTGGTCACCATCAGCAGCAACTCGCCGCGCACAGGAGCATCTGCATGGTGAAGAGGGGTCCACTGCTGTTAGCACATTCCGTACCCAACATTGCTCAGAACAGCATAGACTGCGGCGGCGGAGATGAAAGCGCGATGCAGCTCCTCCATCTCGGTCTCTCGCGAAACATGTCGGCAGCCGCGTACTCGTCGGAACGCGTCGACACCGCCACCGCCAGGAACGCACCATCCGCCTCCGCTGGCGGCGACAGAGGTCCCGAGCGGAAGGTGTGCCGCCTCTACGAACAACCGCTCACGCCGGTGAACCCGGGACGAACCCGCTGGGAGCAAGTGTTCTCGCGCGTGTTGAGCAGGCCGAGGGCGACGAACAGCGAGCACTCGGTGGCCAACATGGAGCGCTGCTCCAGCCTGTCGGCCATCAGCACCCAGGCGATCGGCGGACGGAGTAGCACGCACTGTGCGGCGCTCAACGCTGCAGCCCCGGAAACGGGCACGACGATCGCGAACGCGGCCTGCCGAACGCGCTCCACCGAGCATCTGTCTCGGCTGGTGTGCACGGATCCGCTCAGTTCGCTGAGCTCGCTGAGCAGCAATCACATGTACGGAACCGTGAAGTACATGCAGTCGACGACAAGCGCCGCTAGCAACGACGGCCTCTACTCGACGATACGCTCGCCGACTATGGCAGCCGCGGGTAGCAACCAGCTGCTGTACACCCGTATGGCAGACACGGCCGCGACGACCGGCGCTAACGGTAGTACGGTCGGCGCCCCGGCCGATTCCGCATCTGGCGCTGCCGCCAACGGCGCGCCGGACGTCGCGGGCGAAGTGTCATCCTCGCCGAGCCTTCACAGCCTCAGTCGCCATGGCACCGCAGGCAGCATGGATTATCACCGCCACAGGCAGACCGGAGTGGCAGCATCAGGAGCATCGGCAACGGCGGGGCAATCGCAAATGTCGACCTGGCATCACCGCGCCCTGGCCATGAACCGCAGCTGCTCCGTGCCGGACAATCTCAACTGTGTGATCTCTCCGGACAGCCCCGCCGCTCCCAATGCTTCTGGTGGCATATTTGCGACGGCGGACATGGACGGGACTGGTATGCTGCATGGTGTAAGCACTGACGCCATCGCTCCGTGGAATCCGCTCAAGTACGCTCGCGCCTGGAAGAGGAAGGTGAGGCCACCCACGGCCGCTACGGCGTTATCCTCGTCGGCATCGGCGACAGTGACGTACGCCACACCGGAGCGCAAGACCGCGCGCAGCAAAGTGTTTGCCACCAGCCCGCGCGCGCCGACTGCAGGCAGTCTGGAGCAGGTGGCTCAGCCGCAGCAGCCGCCGCAACGCGCTCGGGAGGGCTCGTATGACACGCTGTACGAGCTTGTGGGCTCTGTTGAGCCCACCTCCGGCAACTGTGGCGGTGGAGCAGGAGGAACAGGAATGCCGTCCATCGTCGCCGACCGTGTGGCCAGGCTCGAATCGCCGACCACATCCGCAGATTCACAGCAGCAGCAGCTGCAGCAAGCAGGCGCGATGGCCTCGTCGCCTAAAGTCGACAACGCCAGCTACGCCAAGCTGAACTGGAAGATGAGAACTGCGAGCAATCCCGTAGCCGTGCCAGCGCAGAGTCACTGCCCCCCAGCAGGCGGTAGCACCGTCGGTGCGGGTCAATCGTCATCGCACTCAAGAAACAACAGCCTGGTGGACGCCAAGCAACTGGGTAATCTAAACCAGCAGCAGCCGGAGCAGGCCCTGGCCGCGTTCTCCCCGGGAACGTCGCAGGAGACGAGCTCTCCGTTCCTAACGGACGGCAGCCTGCAGCTAAGCAGCCACGACTCTCCGTCGCCGCTGACGAAGCTCAGCGATCACAGCGGCCGATCGTCCACGAGCAGCGCGAAGGCGGCAGGCCGAGACTCGATTCTGGGCGCACTGGGCACTCACATGGATTGCCTCGGCTCGGACTCTCGTTTGTACAACAACCTCTGCGGTAGCAACGGCACGTCGTTATCGCAGTACGACACCCCTGACACGGGCACGACCATGCAGCATCGCCCACGGGCCGTACGCCGAGACAGCATGACCGGCAACGCACCCGGGGTGCTGAAACGGGACCTTCCGTTGTCGACGACGACAAGCAATTCAACGTCGTCGCCGCACTCGCGTACATCATCCGCCGGTAACTTTGCCGCCGCGATGGACCAGAAGCCGAAGACCACGCTGCAGCAGTTGCGCTCGATGTCGTCGGTCACGACCCAGCTGGCCACAGTATCGGGGGCGGCCATTGCGCCGATGCCAACGCGTGCGGCTCTGCAGCATCAGGCGGCGCGCAATGCCCAGTCGTCGCTCCGAGGCGCCCGGCAGTTTCCACGCCGTCTGAGCCACAGCTTCACCGAGGATAGCACGGATCGCGAGCAATCCATGCACTCATGGCACACGACCGACACCACTGGCTGCAAGTCCGACGACAGCATTGACGGCAGCTGCGCCAGAAAGAGCGCGCTCTACTCGAGGCCGCAGCGGCGGGCGTCGGAACAGGACGAGACGATCGATCTGGGCAGGCAGGCGGCAGACTGGGCCGACAAGGACGGTGACGAGCAGGATCCAGGGGATTCGCTGTCCAGCAGGAATGCACCACCTCCAGTGCCGCCACGCTCCGACGACCTGTCTCTAGACAGCGCCGACGTGTCGGTGATCGAGCAAGCGCCAACGCCGGCTACAATGAGCGTGAAGTCGACCGCCTGCGAAGATACCTGGGGCTACCCGGACGAGCTGGTTGGCGGGCGAGCGAGGACCACGTCCGGCAAGGCTGACTACGCCGAGCTTCCTTTCTCGTGCGCCGCCTACCCAGGGAGGAAGGCTTCAAAGCGGCGTCCGCGAACCCGCCACTCGTTCTCTGCGTTCGGGCGCTCGATCATCGGAGAGCGCTATCGACTTACCAGTATAAAGACCGATGTACCATCGCTGTCGCCCAATAAGACGAAAGGTGCTTCAACCGTACTAGCATATCAGTCACCTGTACAGCAACCACAACAACACCAGCAGCCGTTGAGTCACGACCAGCTGTCGATGAATAACTCCTGCGGCGTGGAGCCGTTCAGCGGCAGTGGGCGTCCGCGCACCGACGGCTCCTTCTCCAGTCTGCTCGTCAGCAACGATTCGTCGTCGTCCGCCACTCATACGTCTCAACGGCGTCTGTCCTGCGTGTCCGGCGACGAGCTGTACGGAGGCGGCGCTCGTTCTGCCCTGGTGCAGTCCACGACAAACACGTCGGACGGCATGCGTCAGCAGTGCCTCTCGCCGAGCAGTCAGCTGTCACCGCACCAGAGCCTTGGCTTAGGGTCGCAGCTGCCGCCGCAGCCGCCGCAGCTCCCCCGCCACCCGGACCTCACGGGTAGCTACTCGGACCTGCAGAGTGGAGCGCAGCCGCAGTACCCGCACCGGCGTCTCTCCGGCGATGCGCCGCGCCCCAACGGTCAGTACATGGAGCAGAAGCGCCGCTCCTACGACAGCCCACGCGGCGGCAGCGAACCCAATTTCACGTACGCCAAGCCAATGCTGGACGACTCCAATGCGGATAACGGCTATGCACGCGTGTCCTTTGACAAACCGTAGATAAGCGGTGCCGTACGGTTCAGACGCAGCGGGCAGTCCACTGCTAGAACTGGCGACTATCCTCGGCCACACGGAGCATCAAACGCTTGCATCGGTAATACACCTGTTCACAGAAACTACACAGTTCAGTATTGCACACACACACACGCATATGTACATACATATGCAATCACATACACATGCTCGTATACGCACATAGACACACACACACACACACACGAGCGCAAGCTTGAGCGCGAGATAACACGCACATACAGCGCACAAACGGACATGTGCACAAACCCCATGCAATTTCGCCCGTCTCCCGGGCAAGCCAAGCTCATAGAGATACACGTCACACCGTACGAGGACAGTAGTATTCCCTTTCATCGTTTCCCTTTTTGCTTCTCCATTGTCCTGTATTACGGTGCACGGAGACAGCTAGGGCCCTGTACGCGTACCGTACTCAGCACATGCTGATTACTTCTCTTGTGTTTTTTTTTACACGGAACGCCACCATGGTGTGCAGGCTCGCTTTTCTCAAAGCGGACTCGCCGTTGTCGGAGTTCCGGCTCCATTTTTCTCGCTCTTTGTCTCTGTCTCTCTCTTTGTGTGTGTGTCTCTGTCTCTCTCTCTCTCTCTCTCTTTCTCTCTCTCTCTCTGTCTCTCTCTCTCTCTCTCTCTTTCTCTGTGTGTTTCTCTGTGTGTCTCTCTCTGTGTCTCTCTCTGTCTCTCTCTCTGTCTCTCTCTCTGTCTCTCTCTCTCTCTCTGTCTCTCTCTCTCTCTCTCTCTCTCTCTCTCTCTCTCTCTCTCTCTCTCTCTCTCTCTCTCTCTCTCTCTCTCTCTCTCTCTCTCTTTCTCTGTGTGTCTCTCTCTGTGTCTCTCTCTGTCTCTGTCTCTCTCTCTCTCTCTCTCTCTCTCTCTCTCTCTCTCTCTCTCTCTCTCTCTCTCTCTCTCTCTCTCTCTCTCTCTCTCTCTCTCTCTCTCTCTCTCTCTCTCTCTCTCTCTCTCTTTCTCTCTTTCTCTCTCTCTCTCTCTCTCTCTCTCTCTCTCTCTCTCTCTCTCTCTCTCTCTCTCTCTCTCTCTCTCTCTCTCTCTCTCTCTCTCTCTCTCTCTCTCGCTCTCTCTCTCTCTCTCTCTCTCTCTCTCTCTCTCTCTCTCTCTCTCTCTCTCTCTCTCTCTCTCTCTCTCTCTCTCTCTCTTCTCTCTCTCTCTCTCTCTCTCTCTCTCTCTCTCTCTCTCTCTCTCTCTCTCTCTCTCTCTCTCTCTCTCTCTCGCTCTCTGCCAGCGTTCTTTTCTGTTCGGCTTTTTCTGCCCTTCATATGCTGCAATCTGGGTGCTCTCACACCCATTCGCACACTCACTGCCTGTCTAGGCGACCAAGTCTTACCTGCAGACAAGGCTTGCACGCAGACAAGGCTTGCACGCAGCTATCCTTTAGCTTCCTATGCCCATGCGATTTGCCTTCAGAGAGTCACAATGGCCGCAAACACCGTCACGCGTGCACAAGGGAGTGGCTGGTGCATGCTTTAGAGAATGTCTCGTCACGCTTTGCAGTAAACACCCATCTCATTTCATGCTTTTCTACATGTCTCCCGTTCTTTCTTGTTTATCCTCTATCTGACAACCTTATCGACAAAGTACAACTTAAAAAATAGTTCCGAAAAACTTATCTGTGCTGTTTGAGCTACTCAATTGTGATGTCCTCATGCGTGCGTGCATTCCCTTTCAGTGTGTGCAAGACTCCTGTGATGCGACCAGGGAGTCTTTAAATACCGGCATTTTACGACTCCCTTGATTCGACCTTAAACCTTACGTGGCGAAATCGGCCGGCTGCATGCACCTGTCATATCCATTGTGTCGTTTGTCTGGGCTGAGAAACTGTTCACAACATGACGGAGTTTGCTAGGCGTGCCATGCAGAGCGCGTTGCGTAACACCCTCATGCATGCTGGAGGTTTATATGTGTGCAGGTGCGTAGCACTTCCACTGGATGTGGTCCGGCCGGAGGGGAGTCGGGGTCTCCCCCAGGGGAAATTTTTTAAATTAGGACGCAAAATCCTGCATTCTGGGCACTTTTGGCGTTGTGTTAAAAAAAAAAATGGTCTGGCTGCTACTCGCCTGGTACCATGGTGTGATGCTCTCTGGTGTATACCAGGGAGTCGTAAAATACCGGTATTTTACGACTCCCTGGTGTATACATGTCCACGGATTGATTGCATGTGCATGGAGTGATGCTTGACTTTGTCTGTCATGACCCTGACCCTGACCCTGACTTATATCTGCAGAAAAGAAAGTGATCATGACATGCATGACATGGGGACAATGGAAACATCATGGCGAATATCATGTGACCCATAGATGCTGGGGGTTGACCTGGTTGACTGGAGCTACATGTAGTTGGAAGTGAGTATTTCTTCAGGGGTTTCCCCCTTTTCAATTCTCAAGAGAGAGAGAGAGAGAGAGATACATGCATTTTTTTTAAACAATGCAACACAATATTGTGGAAAGGTCACAACACTATACGAGTAAGAGACAAGATCAAAAGGAAAGCTTTACAATAATAATAATCAATAATAATAAAACGTAGCCTGTAAAATGTAAAGAGGTACATGCAGTGGGCCAGTGGTCCCTTTATATTACGGCACCATTTGTGCTACGGAAAGTCTGCTGGATTAAGGAGGGTGCTGGATTACTGGATTAGAAAATCTGATTTACTGCTGTAATGTGCACGAAAAGGACGTTTTGGAATTTTTGGTTGCTGAACATTATGCTGTTTTTTTCTTTTTTTAATGACAGCCATGTCTACATAGCCATGGCAGAGAACAACAACAACAACAACAACAACAGCAAGAGAACTTAGGGGCTACAAAGGGCGTATAGAGAGGGACGACTGTAGCACGGTGTATTCCAGTCTGACACACCCTGTCACCCTGTGTCGACTAGCCGTTCAAGTAAGGATCGGATGCTGTGCCCACTACAGTAAAACCTGTCAAGGCGACCACTCGGATAAGGCGACCACCTGTCCAAGAGGACCACTACAACCTGGATTAAGAGATGCTATTCTCAGTCAAATAACCCTGGATAAGGAGGCCACCTGGTTACAAAGACCACGTTTTGAAGGTCCCTTGAGCGGTCGTCTTAGACAGGTTTCACTGTACATGTACATGTACATGTATAATTATAAAATAAAAAATAATAAAAAATAAAAATAAAAATTATAGATAGATTGACTCTTTAAAAATTATAGATTACCGTATTTCCACAAATAGTAGGCCGGTCTACCATTTTTTCAACCTCGCCCTAACCCGGCCTTATAATCGAGGACGGTCTTGTATTCGAGGACGGTCTTTTATTCTTTCAACCCAGTTTGACCCTGGTCTTCTATTTCTCGCCACACAGTTTTACCCCCGTTCTTCCATTTTCTTCTACACAGTTTGAGCACGGTCTTCTATTTTCTCCCACAGTTTGAGCACGGTCTTCCATTTTTAACACAAGAACAAAATACTCATTTAGTAGGGGGGGGGGGGGGGGGTGGTCACAACCACTGGCACAAGTGCCGAGAAACCCCATTAGCTGCATCCATGTACCCTTGAGTCTGGCCACAAGTTCCTATGTATAGCAACTTAATCAAGGGCCAAATGTCTGCTATACACTTCCAAGTATACTTTAGTTTGATTTAGTCAGGGAGTCGTAAAATACCGGTATTTTACGACTCCCTGGTTTTAGTTTTAGTACAGTCAGACCTCGCATAACCGCACACATCCGTTTTCCAGAAAAATATCCGGATAGGCGAGGGAACCGGATAATCGGACACGCATACTGTTACATGGCATATGCTGTAAATCGGTAACCAACGATTTTCTTCCGGATGGCGAGGGATCCGGATAAACGAGGACCGGATAAGCGAGGTCTGACTGTACAAGCAATGCATGGCTGTGGTCGCCAATGACCACTTTGCGTGGCGATTGCAGGGTTTTCTATAGCCAACTGCGGCTAGCAAGGAAAAGAGAAAGAACTCAGAAGTCAAAAATAAAATAGGAATGCAGGGTCCTCCAAGAAAGGAGTCTTTTATTTAGTAAATCGGATCCCACAGTGCTTCATATTCATTGGTTCGAAGGAAAGATACAAACGGGAAAAGTCTGAAGAAAAAATTGACCGCCACCACCACTGCACCAGGACTCGAACCGGGGGACCCTCTTCATATCATCGAGTCTCATCCTGAGTTCTTTTCAAAAATCCTGGGTTTTATACAGTACTGTACTTCGTGCTGAATGTTTCACTGTTGTGTGACATTGGAACACTGAGTGTAGCAGCAGTAATGGAATACTGCAGCCAGCGGTGTAGCCCATCAGGGTGCTGCAGGATGTATTAAAATACATCCTGCAGCACCCTGATGTCAAAGCGCACACACAGCCAGACTGATGGCAGGTGTCCGCACGCTCACACAAGCTGAGCGGCGCTGTCGGAGGTGTGCCACGGACGCCAGTAGCCGCCGTGTTTGGCAAAGTACGCGCACGCCACATGGGCCTCGTTGGGCAGCGAGGCGCGCGAGTGATAACCTTGGTCTTGCATGGCCCGCGGCTCGTCGGCGTACTGCATGTAGCGGTGCAGCAGCTGCTGGACAACGGCCGGCTGACTCTTGTATAGGTCGTGGGTCTCGCGCGGATCCGAGCGGATGTCGTACAGGCACATTGGGTCGCAGTCCGCTTCCTCCGGGGCCTTGCTGCACGGGTAGTCGATCGGCGGGTGCATCAGCGAGTCACAGTTGCCCGAGAACTTCTGTGCGCCGACAATGAGCTTGTAGTCGCCGACTATGATGGCGCCCTGCTGCGGGTGATGGTCGCTGTAGTTAAATCCCAAGATGATGTCATCGTGAGTGCTCTCCGTCGACTCGCCGCTCAGCAGTGGCCACACATCGTGCCCGTCCACGGGGAAACGGCCCGGACCCGAATCATCCGGGTCAACGCCGGCCAGCTTGCAGAAAGTTGGGTACCAGTCGGCGATGTGGATGTAGCCCTCGACTTTGGTGCCGGACATTTTCGCCGGCAGGAGACCGCCGTTCGCGAACGCACTGGCGCGCACGCCACCCTCGAAGAAGGTCAGTTTGGTCCCTTTCAGCGGATAGTTGCTGCCCGAACACGGAGCGGCGCCGTTGTCGGAAGACACCACCAGCAGCGTATTGTTCCACATGCCCTTCTCCTTCAGGCGCTGCACGACCAGCGCGGTGACGTTGTCCGCCACGCTCACCATGGCCTGGTACATGCGACGCTGCGTGCACGTCGAGTTCGCCGCGTACTTGTCGACAAAGTCCTGCGGCGCCTGAAGCGGCGTGTGCACGTTGTGCAGCGCCAGGTACAGGAACAGCGGTGTGTCCGCGCTGTGCGAGCTGAACATCTCCTCCAGAACGCTGCAGTAGGTGAGCGCGTCGTACGTGCCATTGCGCGTGTCCGGCGCCCGGTCCGTCCAGAAGTCCGTGCCGCACTGGATGCGCTGCGTGACGTGGTCCTCGCCGCCGGTCAGGAAGCCCGTCATCGTGTCGAAGCCGCGCGACACCGGCAGGTACTCCTCGCTCTTCAGTCCCAGGTGCCACTTTCCCACCATGTGCGTGGCGTAGCCGGCCTGTTTCAGCTTCGCCGGCATGGCCGTGAAGTTCAGGTTCAGTCCCAGTGGCACGGTCTGCGGTACAATATTCCACTGGTGTGCGTGGTGTGGCCACCGACCGCTCATCAGCGATGCCCGACTCGGCGAACAATACTTGTACGCTTGTGGCTCAATGTAGCTGAACCATCGGACCTTATTTGTCAGCTTGGATCACGTGATCCATCCAGCTGCCGCGTGCGGCAAACAGCCCAAATAGCGCTAACTCTGGCCTGCGAGCGTTTGCTGCGACTAGCGCGCTAGCGCTCGTGACATACACAAACGCGCTAGCCAGAATGCTTTGACTTTGATGGCTTTCACCTTCAATTTTTTGAAAAGTAGCGCGCTCAGACCAGCTCGCTCACTCTTTTCCTCTTCCATTTTTTAGGGCAATTGTTTTGTTTGATAGACGAAGCTTAGGGTCTCTTTGGGTTTGCAACCCTTACCCTCCTGGAAAAAATCATAGTTGCTAGACTGCGACACTTCAGACCAGGTACTATTAGAGCCGCTAATGGACGACGAGCTATTTTCCGCTATCCGGAGCTCAAGCATTTGAGCCGCTAAATGGACGAGACTCCTGGGGTAAAGGATGCAGAGAATGAGGAGAAAACACTCGTATGGAGCAGGGAGTAGGTATTGTACTACTTCCTGGTATGGAGCACTGAGAAGCGGTAAGTCTTAGGGCAATTCTTAGCCAGTAATTACTTTCTCGCCATAATTATGTTCTCGTTTTTCGTGTCTTCTGTAATGTACACTAGCAGTACGACTACACTGTAGGCGAGAGTCCATAAGCCAGAGTGTGCAGCTCTCCATCTATGCAGCATAAACAAATTAATGACAAATTTCCTTTGCCTAAGGGCTGGGTTCCACTGCCGCTCCGCCGCACATCATCCACGGCATGAAACGTCATCATTACGAGCTGGTCCAGCGAGGCCGCGGCTCACCACCAGCTTTCGCTCCGCTGCTTGACACAAAAGCCCGCACTTAATTGTTTTATTCGGGGGAATTTTAATTCGTTGCACAGGCCAGAACACGAGGATTTTTTTGGATTTCACGCGCGCGCGCAGGCAGGCTAAATGTCATCAAAAAACATCGAGCACGACCGCGGTACTGTGAATGGCGAGTGTCACTGGAACCACGCCACTCTGCTGCATGCAGCCAAGTACCGTGAAGCAGCGGAGCTGCGGAGCCGCAGTGGAACCCGGCCCTAACCAAACTTATAGCAATTTGAAAATGTTTGACAATTTTTCATAAAAAACTTGACAACATTGTTCTTCTGTAGAGTGCCGCTGGCAACTCCATCGATGAACTCCATCAATGAGCGCAGGGATAAAGTTTAGAAACCCTTCGAGCGAGAACGTGTTTTCAAAAAGGAAGCACAAATATGCCGCGTAACTTCCCCTTTAGTATGGCCCCATCAAAGCCACTCGCTGACTACTTACCAGTAAAATGGAGTTGGACGGTTGTCAGATTAGCTGATATGTTTTCTGCCAACACAACCATAAGCAGTTGTCAACTCTCAAGACTAAAAGAGCTTGCGAAGAAAGTGAGAAACCTTGACTATGAAAGCACATGAAGCGTCAGAACATAATCGAGCAAACTTGGACCTAGATGACCAGTGTCTGCTCCAGAGCCGGGTCAGTGACCCTGTTTGTGAGTACTTGGACTTCTGGAAAAAGAACACTGGGTTACCTGCGACCCGGTCGGAAGTCCTGTCGAGTACTATACTTTTTTATACTTCGAGGGTATACCGCCACTGACAGGCTGCATACGCGTGCGGCCAGAGTGCCCAGTGCGAGTACGTTCATACATGTACATGTACAATCATGTACATCAGGAAGTCGAAAGTAAGTTTACGACTCCCTGACACACAGTAGCCGCACTTGAACGCATCTGGCTCTGGCCCAGTGTTGCAGGAGTTGTGCCAGGTAGACGTGTACCCGGTTTGTGTTAAATCTTAGAGCAGGTACTGCATACCCTATCATATCTGTGTACATGGGTATACAGAGTCAGTGTTGTTGCGTCCCACTCAGCACCCTTCTGGTTCATTTCGGCACCAGCACTCTTTGCGTATGCAGAGTTGAGTAGAGTGCAAGTTCGGACCACAAGTACACTGTAGCAGCTAGTAGCAAACCTAACCTGTGCCGTGATGCACGGCACGTGTGTGCATCTACTTCATCCCTGAGTAACACACCTGGTATATTGTGCACAATAGGGCACAGTAAATAATCAGCATGCATCGCAGTTTTCTGCAACATATTCCTGAAGTCACTTTACACCTCAGAAGAATTGCGTCGCTGACAGGAATTCGATACCGGTTTAGTTTCTCTCTGGGTCATTATGAATCATAGAAAACCCCGTCATACAATAGGTTCAAGCTAAAGTACCGTATCACCATGGTAATTCCTGGAAATTCGGTGTGTTTTCTGCCTTTTGGTAAACAAGCAGCAATGTGCAGCAGAAATTACCATGGTGATACAGTAGATTACCGTGTGAAGCGGTGTGAGATGCAGCAAAGGTGAGCCTGTTACTGTGAGTCTATGCCCTAAACAATAAACTTTGCTGTGGGATGATTATCCTTGGGCTGCACACTCTGCACACTTATTGCTAGGTATATCATTGGTCTTGTTCGGATCGTCCATTACGTTTGCTGCTGTTCAAACTTGTTTTGTTGTTTATTATTTTATTGATTTATTTATTCTACTTGCCTTTCCTATCTTCTTGTGTTTTAGCATCAGGCGATTTGATCGCAGGACAAGAGAGGAGCTGATGGACGATCTCTCCAGTGTCCCTCTTGGTTCGGAGCAGCGCCGAGTGCTGACGTTGGGACTTGGGTAAGGATGAGTGTTCCCTCATGTTTACAAGTTATCCGTTTTGTTCAACACTAACGGTTATATGCAGAATACTGCTGAGTCAAAAATGTGCAACAATCAGCACAAAAACTGACTGATGAGATCATGACATTCAACGACCTGATGCTTAGCTGCATCACGTTTATATCCGTAAGTGCTGGACAAAACGGATAACTCGTAAACTGATGGTCCTCTTTTTCAATTTTAATCCTTGGCTCTCCATCCGAGTTCCCTCGTGTGTGTAGTTATTTTTATTTTTTTGGTGACAGTCAATTTTTTCTTCAGACTTTTCCCGTTTGTGTCTTTCCCTCAAACTAGTCAATATTTTTATTTACTTATTTTTTTGCCCAGGGTCTACATTCTACCTTTATTTTTACTTAGACTAGGGTTAGCTGTCCGTTTACCAGTACTCATCCACATATATGTGCACAAAGGGTCTACACAGAACTCTATCAGTAGATATTTTGGGTATAGGGGGGGGGGGGGGGGGGGGGGTTGTCTATCCACCGAGATAGCACTATATACTCCCATTCTGTGTGTTCTCTGGTAGCTATGTCCCTTGGAGACTATACGGTGCCAGTGTGGTGACCGAGGTCAGGCCGTGTCTGCACTGGCATCGTCAACTTTGCCTACTGCTACGTGCTCCCCAGTGCTCCATCTGTGTCCTGTAATTTGTTTGGGGAGGGGGGGGGGGGCAATACCGGTACTTCAGGTGCAGGGGGCAAGGGGGGAATGGGGTGGGGGGACATCATGCCCCCAATGAACCTCTCCAGGCGTTGTTCTGGAGTAGACTAACCATAGGCGGAGTGTACACATGCAGCACATAGTTTGGGAATTAGAACGCGATCAGACTCGGGCATATTCAAAGGCAGTCTATTGTGATAGTAGTCCTGGACTGATCTCACTATGATAATATAGGTCGTGCCCAGCATCACAATGCCAAACATTATAAATGACTGTTTTTTTTTGCCTGAGGGGCTAGATGAGCATGCGGCTAGACTGCCGATGGCAACCAACAGGCTCAAGGCTATGTTGAGACTTCGTGTGAGCGACCCGAGTCAATTGTTTACTCGCCATGACTAGGCATCGCATTGAGCATCGTATGCCCACTAATATATGTCACTGTTCTTAGTCGCACCGGGGGCGCATGCCCGTTTTCAGGAGACTTCTCAAAACACATAAGCCCTGGGTCCTGAAGGTTAGGCCTATTGTTAATCTAAATAGTCCTGGCTACTATCCCGCTGAGTTCACTGACTTTCTATTGAACCCGTATGTATGTGAGGAAAGTACTGTTCTGACCTCAACTGCGGATTTCATCAACTTGGTAGAAGGTTTGCCTGTGCGGGACGATCATTTATAATTGAGTATAGATGTGACCAGCCTTTACTACACCAACATCCCCAACGAGCTCGGTTGTCGTGGTATATCACACACAGGTGTACAAGGTGGATGCCCCTCGCCCTTCGTACATGGTTATTAACAGCAGTGACTTCCTTGATGTCAGTCATTCGGAAGAAAAATGAGTTCGTGTATGGTAACGATGTGTTTCGGCAGATCCAAGGGAATGCCATGGGTTCGCCTGCAGCAGTGGTCTATGCCGACATTGTTATGCTGTATTTGGAGAAGTGGTACGTTTTGCCGATCTTAGAGGGGGAGGGTTTAGAGGTTCAGGTTTATAGACGCTTTATCATTGCATGGTTGCGAAGGTCAAGTTCAGCGCACTTTAGATAGGAATAATAAGTGTTCGGCCCTCAAGTTTTCTCATGAACTGGCACATGATGGCATTGATTTCCTGGACACCACAGTTTTCCGTAGTAAGGGATACATGGCGGTGAAGCCTCATTTCAAGTTCACCAATCGTTTCCTGTATCTGCTTGTCGGTAGTAACCACCCCTGTAGTATGGGCAACGGTGTGTTCACTGGGGAGTTGATCCGTATCCGTCGGTCTTCGACCCTTGACCACCACTACGAAGCTGCTGCCGAGCGGCCGAAGCAGGCTTTCCGGGCCCGTGTATACAAGCGCTCCATCTTTCATCTTTCAGACCCGTACACTAGGAATGGATGCGCAGGGAAGGTATGTTGGTCAAATTGGCATGGGTTTGGGTTATTTCTGTAGTTGTATACAGTGCTCCTCATTGTATTTACCTGGGCCCGGCCTGCTGTCCTTCGCCCGTTGGTCTTGAGGTCCAGGTGTAATACCCCTACCATACAGTCCGGTGGCCAGCGCGGTTGTTGTTA